ATTAACTGGTCAGAAAGAGACTAGAGGAACCCCCAAGACCATTGCCCTGAGAAAACTTTCTAACTTGAAACTAAAGACACTCATGGAGGCCACTTTCTAGCCAAAGAATAGGTGGGACTATAAAACAAACAATGGGAAGAATGTGCTTCTCGGAACAATCAGCTATATGAAATCAACAGGACAAATTTGCCCAAAACCAAAGATGAGAAGACAGAGCGACAGGGAAATGGGATGAATGGAAACAGTCAACCCAGAGAGGGAAAAGGGAAAATGCTACACACTGTAGAGATTGCTGCCAATGTCACTGAACAATTTATATATGAACTGTTGATTGGAAAAACTAACATGCTATGTAAACTTTCACTTAAAGCACAATAAAATGTTTAAAGAAAAAAAGAAGAATCATCTGAAGATCTTGTTTAAAATAAAGAAACCAGGTCCTTTCCAGATATCAGCTCTGCCTCAAGGTGGCTTCTTTCATAGTTACAAGGTGGTTGCTGTAGTTTCAGATGTCACATCCAGATATAGGAGTGTCTCTCCTGGTTTACTTACTTGGGATGAGAAAACTTCTTTCCAAAATCTCACAGCAGACTTTCCCTTGAGTAACCTTGTCCAGAAGGAGTTCTTTTGTCTGTTCCTAAACCATCACAGGAAAGAAAAATCAGAATCTAATCCTAAATTTGGAATAAAGCAATGTCTTCTGAATCACATGAAGGAGGGGTGTTTACCTCAATGGATTTGGGAAGGAAGAAGAAAGAGGAATGGGATATTGTGAAACAACCACAAGTACCAGCCACGAGGTATGTCTCCCGTGTCCCACAGCCTTGTGTGTACAGCTCCATCCTGGAGATTTTCAACCTTCACTCTAAGTAACTACACCAGGGGAGCTTTTAAAAAAATGCTCCCCATACCAATCAAATTAGAATAGCTGGTGGTTATACACAGGCATTAGCATTTAAAATAAAACCTACCATAGTGTTTGTAATGTACAACCAGGTTCAAGAACTGCTGCTGTATCCTCTCTCCTGTCACCCTCTACTGTAATTGTTTATATGTCCATCTCCCCAACCAGACCACATTTATTAGAAACAGAGCCAGATCTTCCTTGTCTATGTATCCCTACCACCTAGCACAATGTCTCCTTCTCAGTTAATAAATGTTTGGTGAGTAAATGAATGTAGGTTACCAAATTAATCAGGAGGGTTCTTTGCTTCCAAAGAATTAGAATATATTGGAAGAAGCAGAAACATACACAAATATGAACATGACTTAGCTAGACGCAAACGGGGGA